AACAGCTGTGTTGCACTGTTGCAACACAGCAGCCATGTGGTGACCACACTCACGAGCAGCCACCTGGCAATCCCCCTCTCCGGCCAGGCAGAGTGCCACTCACTGACCTAATGGTATCCCGAAGGCGCCAAGCCACATGAGTGCCTGTCCACCCTGTGCCCCCCCCCCAGCTCCCACGGCTTGGTGCCTTCGGGATACCACTAGGTCAGTGAGTGGCACTCTGCCTGGCCGGAGGGGGGGTTATCAAAGGGGATTATTTTGTGGGGAGGGTTTATATTTTTGCCCACCCAAAAAAATCTGGCATGTCCTTATTTTCAGGACATGTCATATTTTCGGAAAAACACGGTACTACTGAAGGGTAGAGAACCATATGAGGATGGACAACTGCCCTGAGTCTCTGCACTAAGTGCTGGATAATCTTTTGTAGCAGAGCAAGAAGTATTTCTTAGGCAGCCCCCTTCTATATGTAGAAAGAGAAGAAAAGATACTACCCAAAATTGTTCTGTAGCAATCTTCACTACTGACTTCACATTCAGGGACTTGAAAGATCCTTAAAAACACATGTCATATCAGTATCGCACACATAATTAAAATAATTTCTCTTACAATAGATGTTGACAACATTTAAAAAGGGTTACACACAAAACAAGAAGCTCTCCCTAATGTAGCTGTGGTGTATGTGTGTGCGAGTGCCGGTATGTGTTGGATGGATGGATGGATGATAATTATTTCAGTGTGAAATCTCAGTGGCTTACATAAAATAATAAGATCTCAGGAGGAGGTAAATACATATTTGATCATTTTTGGTTCCATGTGATATATTTTGCAGATGAGGAGAATTATATACTTTAGAAAAGAAAGTCATGAATAAATTACTAAAATGGTTTTTAATTTTCAAAATAAAAGCAATAGGTATTAGCACATTATTATTATGTGTTAGCTTGGGAACACTGAAAAACACGGGAAGTGTCTTTTGTACTATTAGACTATGTAATAGCCTCTTTTTAAAAAAATAATAATAACAGTTTCTCTAGGCATAAGAGAGATGCAAAACACATTGTTAAACCATTCATGAATTTAACTAATACTTTTTATGATGTCATGGAATTCTGGAAAACCAACAAAACCAAAAAACTTCAGAAACCTAGACAATTTTTTTTTAAACGAATGGCTTTCTAAAGCACTTCACAGCTCCATTTAGTCTCATAATACTCAAGGAAGGTCTATTAAATGGAAAGATGAGGTTGTTGCTCCTCCACATAACTTAGAGGTAGCCACAACTTTATAAGAGTGATGAAATATACAACACAACAACATTATGAAGCACGTTTTGCTCCTTACCTACTTAATATTGAGACAGTATAAAAGGGGCACAGTTGTTTCATGATTTCATAGCACACCTTCCTCTGCCCTTCGCCCTTACCTACAGTCAACTCTGCCATATCTATGATATTTTTATACAAATGTTTGCCACTCTAGACTTCCATTAGTTTGGTTCACTTCCAGTTTTGGAGTGTGAAATGGGAAGATTCCTCCCTGTTTCCATAATTTTTATTCCATAATTATCATTGTGAAGATTTCTGGGCTATGTCATAAAATACGATCTTCCAAAAAAAAACTTTGTACAGTCTTCCAGTTGTTTTTCCCCCATTATGGAAACTATTTTTTGGAAAATCCTAAGAAATAAGAAGTCAGAATAACTGCTATAAGGTTTAAGATACTGTCAGAGGTCTTACTCTTCAGAAGGAAGATTGGTAAGTCTGTAGAATACAAACTCCAGATAACTGTCAAAATCAAAGATGCATGAAAAGCATCCTTTCTTTAAGATTTCCCTCATGAAAGGAAGTTAGACGTATTTAACAACGGCACCCAAATGAACTCCTATTTCATCAATCAAAATGGCTTCCAACCTCATCCAGTTAAGAGTATGAGAACAGACTTCTGCGTGTTAACCTTAAGTCCAAATAATTTTCCTCATAAATGGGTACAGATATAATCAATTTGTGATCTCTAACAGATACACGGATGTGACAGTAATATATTGTACAGTATACATCAATTTAAAATTAAGGAACCAAACCTCTCTCTTGATCACAATGATTTGATTCAGCACTATCAAATCATTTAATTTCTCTATTTCTGCAGAAATGGGTTGAATGGGGAATAAATACCATAGGATAGCATCTATTCCTACTAAAAGCAAAAGTGCTTGAAACATATTTGAGAGCTTGAAACCCAATTGCTTCTATTTCTAGGTTGGTTTGGTTTGGTTTGGTTTGGTTTAGGTGTTTGGTCATATTTTTCACAACACAAACTTCTTGATCCTAGAAAACATACAGAGATTTCCGATTGCAAGGAGTTCTGGATTCTACTTTGAATAGTAAAACCTATGACACAGTCCGAAACCGGCTGACTGTAGAAGAAGCCACAGCCTCAGTAAGTGAAGGTGGAGGACTGCAAGGGATCACCATGAAAGACAGCGATGAAGAAGATGAAGAGGATGATTAGATCTCCAGATTTAGAGTCCCCCAACCTGGATGTAGCCTGGAAACCAGTGCATGTAATCTAGTCGGTTATTCAATTAGCCACATTAGGAAATTTTCTGTCTGCTCTAAACGCCCATGGAAAATCTACCAATACAACTCCCATTTTAGCTGTGTGGTTCTTAAGACTTAGCACCTCTGTTTCGATTCATTGAGTTTCCTGATTTCATATCTCTATGTTTATAAGCAATATGGAGCACCATTGTTTAAAACAGTTAATTGAAAATAAATCTGCATAGAAAACATACTAGGTGTGTCCCTATAATAATAATTAAAGTATAAATGACGCTTCATTAATGTACGTATATACATTGATGGTAAATTGTTGTGAAGACAAGTGAAACAAGTACTTTCATATGTTTGTTTCTCTTCTATGGATGCCAACTGCTTCGAAACAGAGTAAGGCTACTACTACTACTACTACAAGACACCTACCGGTATTTTGTACATTTGGGGGAGGAGGAACATACACCAGAAGTTGGGATTATTCCTGTTTATTGTACCCAAGCACTTTTCTTCCAAAGTATACAGCTACCTTTGTAGAAGTGACTGACCATTGGAATCTTAGTCATCCATCTACACTGATCTTGGGCTGATCTTGATCACATTGTCCACCTAATAATTCTGAGCAGTTGCTTTATGTCAGTGTCTTGCCCCACTCAATGTTACATTTTGTTCAGAGTTCCAATAACTGTGTTTGTAAAAAGGACAACTTTAATTACAACCTTAGACTATACAGATGTGTTTATAATAATGAGGATGATATAATAACAATAATGATAACGAACGACAATTTCTTTTCATAGACTGTATCCATAATTTAAATCTCCTTTTGTTTTCATAATGGTTTTTATATCTTGTCATGTACATTGTATTTGGATCAGTAACATGCATGTCCTTGCGTTCCCCCCTCCCCACTATCCAGGAGCTTTTATTTTTTTTGTGTGTAATAAAGTGGATTCATCTTGCTTTTTTGCCTTATACAAGCCGACAGTTGTAAAAGTGTGGGGACTGTGGCTTTTCAATAAATAACTGTTCAGATGTCCTACTCATAAAACACTGGAGTCTTTTTATGTCTGCCTTAGGAAGAAGAAGAAGAAGAAGAAAACAAAAAAAAACCCACAAAAAGATTAGTCAATTTAACAAGAATCCATGTAAGAGTTCCTGTCTTCTAGAATAAAGGAATTTTCTTTTCACCTGGGTGGTTTTTTTAAAAATAATTTGTGAACTGAGGGGCTACTTTTCCAATATGCTCTTTAAGGCAGATGCAAACTTCAAGGTGTTCCAAAGAAGCACCACCGAACTCAGGGAACTAGGCTGGGGAGGATGTTCCCAGACAGATGGTTCTCCAAGGCTACCAATCAGAAGGCCCTGTTCAATATCTCTTCATGGATTCACTATTTAAAAAAAAAAAAAAGCTGGAAGCCATGAGGGAAAAACCTGGAAAATTTACCAATGGGAGGCAACCTATGCTGTGAATGAGGCAGAACAATGATCCAGGAAGGCCTTTCACGCAGTGAAGCAGGTTAGGAGACCAGTCAAAAGGCTGTGCGCAATTGTGCAGTGCAATTAAAATTGTTCTGCACATGCGCAGAACTGAAAAACAAGGTGGTTTGGGGGCACGGCAGGCCTGGATCGCTGCCGGTTCCAGTGACCCGGGCCACCAAATCACTACCGGTTCAGCTGAACCAGTCCGAACTGGTAGGCCATTGTGCCAAACCATCCAAATTTTGAACCTGTGACCATGGGGATGCTGCGATGGACGTTAAATGTGAAAAACGGTCATAAGTCACTCTTTTCAATGCCAATGTAACTTTGAACGGTCACTAAACAAGTGGTTGTAAGTTGAGGACTATCTCTATTTCACAGGGTTTTTTTAATGGAAATTCAGACAGATATGTTGTGTTTTAATTTACAGAGAATATCCATAGGTATGCTTATATTTCAGGGACATTTACAAGGCCATCTAAAACATAAAAGATGATTGATGGTGATGATGATGATGATGATGATATAACGACAACATAGTAGGTGAATGCTCAGTCAAATAGCTAGATGAAAAGCTGTGAAAATTTTCTGTAAGGTTTATATGATTGCCTACCTTGTAGCAGACACCTCTGGGCAGCTCACAACAATAGTAAAACCAACAATAATACAAACAAAAAAACCAGAAACAGCAAGAGCGTTCCATGCAACAATACACAAAAGTACATGCACTTTCATACGAAGCTCAGTTCCTTGGACTTCCTAAATATGTTCAAATGATTTTCTTGGCAACAAAATGGAACTGGTTTGCCAGTGCCTCACTAGAGGTTTTTTAAAAAGAGACTGGACAGTCACTTGTCTGAAATAGCAATAGCAATAGCAGTAGACTTATATACCGCTTCATAGGCCTTTCAGGCCTCTCTAAGCGGTTTACAGAGAGTCAGCATATTG